CCACGGACTTTTCTTTCGGAGCTCTTGAGTGACCAGGTACATTGCCGATGAGCAGTCATATTTTGAGAAGAATCTTTTTCTTGGAGCAGTAGGTCTCCACAGTGGACTTAAATATTCAGTAAAACATGCTGTAAAGAGGTGTTCTGTAATACAGGGTTTGTTATTCCATATACAGAACACAGGCAGAGTAGATTTAGTATCATTCCTAAGGGCCTTCGAATTTTCAGAATGGTAAATAAGCATTGGCTTTAATTTAAAGTCATCAGCTGCATTCGTTCCTAACAAAAGAGTCAGCCTGTCCTTTGAAGCTTTGAAGTCATGCATTGACTTCTCCTCTCTAACTATGAAAGTCCTAGATGGCATCTTCTTCCAACAGAAGGGTGCTCCATCTACACTGAAAACCTGTTGCTTAGTGTAGCCACCTTCATCAATGATCTTAGCTAGATTTTCTGAATAACTTGCTGCAGCGTCTACAGAAGCGCTTTCTGCTTCACTTTGCACTTTTAGGTTATGGAGGCTTCTTTCCTTAATCCTTCTGAGCTAACCTCTGCTAGCCTCCAACACTTCCTCTGCAGCTTCCTCACCTCTCTCAGCCTTTGTAGCCTTGAATAGAGTTAGGTACTTGTCCTTTGCATGCAAAACTTGGCTAACTCTGTGGTCCAAGAAGCCTCGCTCTTGGCCTGTCTCAGCTTTGGACACACTATCCTCAGTAAGCTTTATCATTTTTGATCTAAAGTGAGAGATGTGAGACTCTCGTTTTCACTTGAACGTATAGAGGCCACCGTAGGGTTATTAACTGGCCTAATTTTAATACTGTTGTGTCTCATGAAATAGAACCAAGGAAATGGAGAGAGACTGAAAAATGGTTGGTGAGTGGAACAGTCAGAGGACACACACAACAATGATAAAGTTCTCTGCCTGATATGGGCATGGTTCATGGTGCCCAAAAAATTCCAAGAGTAGCATCAAAGATCATCGATCCCAGATCACCATAACAGATATAATAATGATGACAAAGTTTGAAATACTGTGACAATTACCAAAATGTGACACAGAGACATGAAATGAGCTCATACTGTTAGAAAAATGGCATTGGTACAGGGTTGCCACAAACATTAAATTTTGTTAAAAAAAATGCAGTATCTGTGAAGCATCATAAAGCAAAGTGCAATAAACCAGGTATATAGGTCGGGTGCAGTGGCTCACGCCTGTAATCTCAGCACTTTGGGAGGCCGAGGCAGGCAGATCACGAGGTCAGGAGATAGAGACCATCCTGGCTAACACGGTGAAACCCCGTCTCTACTAAAAATACAAAAACTAGCCGGGCGTGGTGGCGGGCACCTGTAGTCCCAGCTACTGGGGAGGCTGAGGCAGAAGAATGGCGTGAACCCAGGAGGCGGAGCTTGCAGTGAGCCGAGATCCCACCACTGCACTCCAGCCTGGACGACAGAGCGAGACTCCATCTCAAACAACAACAACAACAACAAAACAACAACAACAACAACAAAAACAGGTATACCTATATTTCCAATGTACTTTCCTACTAATATCATATTACTACAATATTACTTTATTTAAAACTTTGAATATCTGACAGATAAAATATTGATAATCTCTTACAAAAGTCAGCAGGGTCTGATTATTAACTAAGACTGAAAAAATTTTGCTGTGGTTTGAAGACTTGATAATTTATAAAGCACTATCATTTTGAGAGGAAAAAAAAATCACATTTTTCCCTAGGGATTACTTCATATGATTATATTGTTTATTTATGTGCAGAAGTTCCTGGGTGGCATGTGGGGGTCTAAACTCAGCTCAATTTCAATGCCAAGCCAAACTGAAAAGTGGTTTATAATTCTTTGGCTCAGAAGAGGCGCTTTTTTTGTAATGTTTCCAAGACAAGTACAAGCCAGCTAATGATATCCCTACTTGAGAGAAAGAAGTACACTACAGGAGCTCGATAACCACTCAAATGCAGCAACCAGGTAAACGAAGAAATCTCAAGGAATCACAGACTGATCTTCCCAAATCCTGTGCTGGCTACCAGATACTAACCTTCCATAAGATTAGGCTCTATCTAAATATCATACTCCAAAATTTCCAGTGTTTACATATGTATAAATTCTGAGAATCATAAGCTAATGCTCACAAATAGCCAAAATTTCTGAATATTCTGTTTCTAACTTTTATGTTTTTCTCAAATACTAGTCTCTTTTCACAGTAGGAAAAATCTGAGAATTCAAAGTGACACATTAATCTTCCTTCTTTGAGTTGATATTACTTACGATTCATATGCCTGAAGAAAAATATTTCTGAGATTTTACAGTGTCATGTAAAGACTTGTGAGTCGGAATAAATCTTTCTAAAATTCTGGAGTAGGGGAACAGAAAACAAGTAAGCAAAGGAAGAACAAAGACACATGGGAAGAAAGGCAGGGAAGAAAAGGGATGATTACATTAAAGAAATGAAGGAAGAAGAATAAGAGAGAAGAAGCAACCCCAATTTTCTGCCTTAGGGTAATAACAGGATTGCAAACCATGGCTACGGAAATATTGAGCTTTCTAAACCATTCTTTCAACTAGAGGTTTCAAAAACAAACAACCAATAACAAAGAATCATAGCAAGTATTTGATACTAATAAGTTTCAATATTTTCAAAACAGATACTCCTTCTAAGTTTATGCTGTTTAAACTACGAATGCCAGAATAAATGAGTTCTTACCTTCTATTACCCATTCACTCTGGCTTTTTCTCCCTTCCCAGTGTTCTTGGCAGAGGTCAACTGGGGAGCCCTGATTCCCTGGGTTCCAGAGCCCCAGTCAGCTTTTCTGAAATAAGCCCTGAAAAGCTAGAGCAATCCTGGTAAAATCAGTTTTCTTTTCTTTCCCTCTCATCCAAGTCTTCCCCTCATCTCCCAAGCTAAAAATTCACCTTTGCTATTTTCATTCTATAATTCAGCTTTCTCTGCATTCTTCTCATGCTCTGTTTACCTTTCTTTGTATGCATTACTTTTCTGTGTTTCTGCTCTGAGTTACTTTATTCTAAACATGTAGTGACGCAATTTTTAAACTTTAAGAAAAAAACTGTAAATGGTATGGCAGATACAGCTAAAGAGTTTCAAACCACAGAACAGTCTCAGCTGAAGTGTGACTATACACACCTGTCGGCACTACCTGTAGTTTCATCACTCCTTGGGGACCAAACACTGCTTTTCCTGTTTCTGGTCCAGCAGCTTAGAACGTCACCTTGTCTAACTATAAGACATCAAGGGAAGGGTGTCAAAAATGCCTTATACAAAACCTGCCAGAATAACTAAGTGGTATAACACTTTGAAAGAAGGGTCCCCAGGGTATAAAGCTTAAGGTCAGGAGACAAATAGAAAAATCTTTCCAACTTTGGAAAGCAGGAAAAGGTGGAAGAAACAATGTTGAGAAAGAAAGAGAAGAAAGGAGGAGAAGTTAAAGAAAGGGGGACGTGTGACTAATAAAAACAGTTTGAATCCAGGATATGCGATGGTAACTGAAGCTACTTTACATTTTGATGTTGCTGTGTCATGCATTTTAGCCCATTCTATATGAATTACTTTGTTTCTGCTTTAACCAAAATACACATATAAAAAAGACAACCGTCTCTAAGGCTGTTGGATAAAATATCCTGATTTTTGTAAAAGTTTTGTTCTAAATGTTGCATCCAAAAGAATGATGAATTTTATATAGCTTGTTATACTTAGCAAGGCACTTTCGCATATGCCATATGTCATCTCATTTGGGCCCCATAAGAACCCAGGAGGGTAGGCAGGACAGGTGATCAGGTCTGATGCTGAGAGAACTTAAATAACACTGTAGTAAACAGGGGAGCCTTAACTTAGAGTAAACCTGAAGCTTTGGAACTGTATGTTCCATGCTCTTCCCAATACACATGATTTTAATGTGTTTACAAGATAGATTCAATTAAGGAAAGTACTATTTGTAAAACATTTGTTTGTATAATATTCATTGCTCAAATTTATCTAAGCTAGATCTAAGCCATGAAAAAGGAAAAAAAAAATAAGCTAATTTGAACTTTTACTTTTGTAGACCTTTGTTTTCCCTCCTGTTCAAATTATCATAATTTTATGCAAAATGTTCTAAAGTTGAACTGTACTAGATAAATGATCTTCACATGATCTCCAAACACCGTTACCATATAACTTATAAACAAAAAGAATATTTGAAAAGAGATTGAGATCCTCAGGAATTGATGAGAATGAAACTTGATGGGATTGTAATATTTTCTATTCTTTCATCACTTTCTCATCTATCTCTGTTTTTAATGAAAATTCCATCTTAATACAAGCATCAAATTATTACTTCATTATGTTGCCTTATAGGAGAAACCTAATTCTATTCCCCTATAATTTCTCCCAAATAAACATTATTTCCACCATTTCTATTGTCCATTTGTGAACATGGTAAGTATTTTCTGATACAATTTACTGAAGTGTTACTTTTGAGAATCATTACATGATTGGGAGTTCCTGAAGGAACATCATTGAAATGATACTAAGCGTATTAAGCAACAATGCTCAACAACAATTCTCTAACTCTAGCAAAATTAAAACTATTTTCCAAATTATAAATGTTTCACCTTTGCCCACATATGCATTTCTGCCTGACAAACACAGCTCTCTACTTAGTTATAAAGTCCAAGACATTTTTAAATTAGACTAAGTTTTCTCTTAATTGATGCCAACGTTCAAAGCAACTCCAATGTCCTCAAAGTAGTATTTTCATGGAATTAAAAATATCAATGGATAACTCTAGGGAAATGATGCTTTTCACAGGAGACACATGGCATTTATTATTTGAGAAACACTTCTAAAGTTTTATTTTAGGTCAATGGCAGCATTTTGGGGTATGATGCTGACATAAAACACATTGGAAATAGCTATTTATATGGCTGACTTCATACAGACCTCAATCACTGAAGGGATTTAGCCCCCCAAATTAGGAAGTCACTTACATTGACTCTGACCTGCCCTCATGAGAAGTCCAGGTGCTTCTTCTTGAACTTCAAGGGCTCGGGCAGCCCAGGCATTGCCCCAACACTGCTTAGAGCAGTGGTCAGTCTGGAAGTAAAGAAGCACAGTAGTATCCCAGAGTGAGTGTTTTAAACAAGGCCTGCAAGAGGCACTAATACTGCATCCACGTCTGGCCACATGCCATTTCAGACTACAACATTATCCCGCCACAGCAAGAAATGGTGATGAAAGCCTAGAATAAGCTGTATTTATCCAAAGAATCTATCATAAGTGAGTTACAAACACATTTCTCCATATTGCCATTTATTTGGAGGTTAGCCTTGATGGCGTGATAATATTACAACTCCATATTCAAAATAATTATGGAATACACAGAAAGTCAGTTAATTATATATAAACTATTTGAATTATATTATCTGTAAATAAGAACAAAATTGTAATAATATCATAAAATAGATAAAATTATTTTAATTAAGTAATTAAGTTGCAATTACAAAATATATTGATTTTTGTTTATTCTTCCTTTTTTTTTTTTTTTTTTTTTTTGAGGCAAGGTTTCATTCTGTCACCCAGGCGGGAGTGCAGTGGTGTGATCACCACTCACTGCAGCTTTGACCTCCCAGGCTGAAGTGATCCTCCTGCTTCCGCCTCCCAAGTAGTTGGGACTACAGGTGCATACCAACACACTTGGCTAATTTTTATTATTTTTGTAGAGGTGGGGTCTCCCTATGTTGCCCAGTCTAGTTTCAAACTCCTGGGCTCCAGTGATCCTCCTGCTTTGGTCTTCCAAACTGCTGGGATTACAGGTGTGAGTCACTGTGCCTGGTCTATTCTTCCATCTTTTCAAAAAAACCTAATATACGCCTGAAACTAAAACTAGTCTAATACACATATATTCCATTATTACTGAACAAAGTACAATATAATTTAATTAATACATAGTGCATAAGATTTAGAGTAACCAACTAGAAACACCACAGGGTTTTCTCCCGACCACAAAAGAACTCCATTTACACAGCAGTTTGACTAGTCCAGTTGAGGTACACTGGAGCTACACCAGGATCTTCATTTACTCTCCAGTGTTTCAGGAAATGCAAATGGGTGATTCCTCTGGGGGCATCCACCAAAATCAGGCTTAGCTACACCCCAGTGGTTTTGGGGACCCTCACAAACTCAAAATAAAAAACACAAACTGGAAGAAATGAAAATGAAAGCATTGTGGGAGAGAGGAGAAACCACTGTTTAAGAAGAGACCAAGATACTATTTCAATTCTAAAGATAAATAGCTCTATGACTTTACCAAGATTTGGAGCAGGGATCTGTTTCCTCTTGAAACAGTGGCAAAGAAAAAAAACCCCAGAAAACGGTTTTTATAATTGATATGATGGTAGGATCACCAGATGAGCCTTTCAAAAACTAGGAATATTCAGGACCCCTCACAGAGATTCTTATTTCATGCATCTGGGATACAATCTAAATATTAGTTTGTTTATTTATTTATTTATTTTATTTTATTTTATTTTGAGACGGAGTCTCGCTCTGTCAAACAGCCCAGGCTGGAGTGCAGTGGCGCAATCTCAGCTCACTGCAAGCTCCGCCTCCCGGATTCACACCATTCTCCTGCCTCAGCCTCCCAAGTAGCTGGGACTATAGGCGCCCACCACCACGCCTGGCTAATTTTTTGTATTTTTAGTAGAGACAAGGTTCCACCGTGTTAACCAAGATGGTCTCCATCTCCTGACTTCGTGATCCACCCGCCTCGGCCTCCCAAGTGCTGGGATTACAGGCGTGAGCCACCGCGCCTGGCAAATATTAGTATTTTTAAGACTCCCCCAAATAATTTCAATGTGCAGCAAGTGTTAAAAGCCACAAATCTGAAATTCCAAATGATCTCAAAGCATCTTCCTTGACTCCAGAGATTCTTAGCCTGTAAGTGTTCTATGACTGTGTGCCTCCGAATTCTATGATGCTGTACCTTAAGCTCATTCTGTCACACTTAAATCTAAGAAGTACCACATTATTTTTAAAAAGGATTTAAAATGATGGGCCAAAAAAGGCATTACACAACTACTGAACTATAATAAACATAACCTTGACGTTTTTTCCTTCAAATGGTATACTATTATCTTACATGTATATTACTTATTATACTATCATCTTACGCATGTGTATATGTATGCTGTGGTGGGTAAGATATGTATCCAATAATCTTCCAACTAAAATTTCCATTTGTCTAAAATTACATCTTCAAATAACACCAATATTTTTATCAACTTAATAAGAAAAAGTAGGATCTTTGCACTGCAAATTTTTAAAGTTACACTAATGATAAAAAAATTTAATTACTCACTAATTTGGCCTTATACATTTCTCACATTTTGAGTTATGCAAGGCTACAATTATATAATTCTTACATTTTGGATTCTAGAGAGGAAGTTGAAAAAGCAGTAATCAATGCCAAAATCTAAGAAGGCCAAAAGAGTCATTTAAAGGACAACAGAATTAGGAAATAAATACGCCCAATCTTAACTAAAGTGTGCTTTGTAGATGACTCATGCTTTGGGGTAAACAACTGTAAGAGCGAACACTGCACAGGCAAGATGTAAATCCTGTAAATATACAGAAGCACAATCCCATGTAGAGGTGAATATCAACAATTAAAATTAGATAATAAAATATAAAAATATAAAGTTTAAGTACAAATATAATATGACAAAGATATGTCATTCACTAGCAAAGTCTAAGTTTACTTCTAATAAAAGTTACACCTAATACCTATTAAATACTAAGAATCATAGGATACTAATATTATTCCCATTTTGTACCCAAGGAAAAAAGGCTCAAAGAAGTTTAGTAAAGTCCCCATGTTCTCACATCTGGAAATACCATAATCAGAATTCAAACCTAAGGCAGCCTTGACTCCAGAAATTCTTACCCTGTAAGTGTTCTAGAACAGTACAAGAGTAACGGAGAAATCACTTTTAGGTTGTCCTTTATCATAACATGCTAGTCAAACACTAGAAGCAAGACCATTTTTTTTTTTAATTTCAGAAAGACATCAAAAGAATCTACAGAACGTTCATGGACCTTTTTGAAGATGTTACCTTCATTTCTGTACTTTCAAAGGAAGATATTCATCATAAAATATCATGCATTTATGTGCTTGCAAATTGAAAATGAAAATTTAAGCCATAAATGCTATATAATATATAAATTCACAATAAACTCTAATGTATTAAACTACAAGAAGCACAAAAATTGCCTCAATGTTACCAGAATAAAAATTAACAAAAAAAGGTGGGGGGTGGGCATGAGAAGATAGCATCATGAAAGTAATAGTTCCAATAATCCTGCAAAATGCCTTTTTTCATCATTAATAATACTATTATTTCATCAAAAATACATGATTTTTCTGGCATTCATGCAAAAATTCTTGGGCAAATGCTCAAATTTGAATGTACAGAAAGGCAGCAGAATCAGTTCTCTGAGGATTTTTTGGTACTAGGTCTTACTCTGCCAATGATTTAATCATATTCTCCTTGAGCATCACGTTCCTTATTTATAAAAATGAGAGGGTTAAACAATATTGGTGAGGTTTTTTTTCCCATATAATATTTTAAGAAAGTTTTCAACCATGAAGCAAAGTTGAAAGAATCATACAATAAGCACCCCTACATATATCTTTCACCTACCTTCTACCATTACTATGTTACTATACTTACTTCATTGTGTATCCACCCTATATCTATCCATCACTGCACCTTATTTCTGGTTCACTTCAAAATAATTCAGTCACTGATGTACACCTTCCCCTAAATAGTTCAGCGTGCCATAATTGAGTTCAGTAAGTTTTTTCATCTTTTTATATAAAATTTATAAATCTTAAGTGTGCACTCAATTAGTTTTAATAAATGCATGCACCCAACACCTATCAAAATATGAAATATTGTATTAGTGTGTTTTAAAATTTGTTTTCTAAGTAACAGAGACCAAGATATAAAACAGGTATAAGCAAAATGGCTTTATGAGAAGTAAGTAAAAGTGAAGATCTTCACCCTCAGGGGGTCCTTCTACCCTGACTCAGGGGGTCCTTCTACCCGGACTCAGGGATTCCAAGAGCTCCAGTTCTTCACAATGGGGAAAATCATCTGATCAGATGCTCTCAAAGATCCCTTCCAGCTGTCTATGGAAATGCCTCTGACCACAGACGAAAGTAATTAAACTACTCTGCCTTTCACCAAACATGAAACAAGGCCAACTTCTCAAAGCTTGCAAGTTTCACTGGTAAGTTATAATTGGTTTAATTGTTTGTTTATTATGCTTAAGGCAATCCCGGGTTTGTGTCTTGGATAGTCATCTTTTTTTTAAGTGATTTTGAATAGTAATTAATATTTTTCTATACTAGGGCCAAGCTCTAGTCACAAACTGGAATACGCCTTCATACATTATGGCCAGTTACCAAATACAATACTACTATGGCTAGGTATTTACAGTCAAGAGTGGAGTTTTCTATACATAGAGGAATTACAATTCCTGCTGAGATCAATCAGTCTCGGGAGCATGCACGCTCCCTCTGTCTCTCTGACCTTAACATAAGCTGTACCCTTTGAATAAACAAAGCCCCTCCAGGGAAATGTGAGCGGCTAGCCCTGCTCCTCCCTCACGTGTAACTCTAGGCAAGTCTCCCAGCTGTCCTGGGCTTCAGTTTTATGGTTGGTAACACTGAGGGAGGGGTGACTAAATAATCCTCGGCATTAATAACTTCAATCATATGAACAGTGAACACAAAATTCACTTCAAAAAAGCCAGCTTCCTGCAGACAATTAAGTACCTGGAAAAGAAAGCTATAAACCTGTAATTCATCAGATCACTCAATCATCATAAACATTCAGTCCTAACCACAGATTTGACTCGGACTGCAGGAAGACTTAATCCTGTTCTCAGTATTTACATAGATATTTTTAAACAGCTCAATCTTGTTTCTCCGACACAAAACTTTCTCTTTTTTTCCCCAGATTATCTTCCTTAAAAAGAATTCCAGTTTGAGCTATTAGTATTTATTGAATTTTCTAGAACTTCACAAAGGT